GAGCCGTTTTCTTGTAATTAACTGTTGAAAAAAAGTGTTAAATTTTCGTCGACATTTAAGCTCATCCTACCGAACCGATTTTAAAAAATTAAAAACTGTTCGAAAGATATTAGTTGGGAATGATACTGATTAATTTTAGGTGAAAATCTACCGAGCCGTTTTCTTGTAATTAACTGTTGAAAAAAAGTGTTAAATTTTCGTCGACATTTAAGCTCATCCTACCGAACCGATTTTAAAATATCAAAAACTGTTCGAAAGATATTAGTTGGGAATGGTACTGATTAATTTTAGGTGAAAATCTACCGAGCCGTTTTCTTGTAATTAACTGTTGAAAAAAAATTTAAGCCGATTTTCATGGCACTTTTTTTGGCGATATACATCATGGTCTTATAGTAATTACTGTAATATTATGGCCTTACGACAAGTAGTTTAATTTTACAAATTCATCAAAGTTTGCTAAAATTATTATCGTTTTTTTCAAAGTAGGATTGATAAAGAATATTATTTACACATTTTTTTTTATTAAGTCGATTATTTACACATATCGGGAAGTTCATGTAACTTGCCTCAAGGCTAAATACCAAACCAACTAGTTATATATAAGATTATCGACTGGTTAGTTGTATCAATGTTAGTGCAAAATTCTGTGATGTGTACACATTTTTAGATATAAATACTGATGATGACATTAAATTGTATGTCGAAACGTTTGGAATAAAAGATTATTTTATAAGTCTTTGCCTTTTCTTTGTTTGATGTATCGCCCTCAAGAAATTACTCATATATTTCAACATCAAAATTAACTATTAAATCATATATATATATATATATATATATATATATATATATATATATATATATATATATATATAAGTATGTATGTATGTATATACTAGCTGTACCCTGCCTTGTTTCGCTGTGGATCTAAATCCAAACCACACCTTCCAAAGTATTTCCTTGAGCTTTATTTATTTTGATTGCAAATGCCAATCGAACAGGAAATTGCAATCTTCTAAACTGAAATGGTACAACGTTCGGAATTATGGGTATTCTAGAAATGAGAACATCTTCACCTTTGAAAGGCCCCGTTAAAGTCTTTGCTTTCAATATGTTTTTCATTAATTTCATAACTGCAAGTCGCAAGCCTTTGCAAAGTTTTGACTAATTAATATATCGACTAATTAATATATCTAAAAGGACAATTAGCATGATAAAGTTCCTGCAGCTGCAAAATAATCGACAGAGTGCATCCAATTCATCTCTATCATTACCAATAAAGTGCATTTGTAAGAACTTATGGTCACTACCTGGTAATGGGAGAAAAAAATCAGCTTTGTGATATATTTGCTCTTTAATTTTGAAGGTTGTCATGAATTGGTCAGTAACAAATTATATATAGTTATTTCTCTGTATCGTACTTATGGTACTCATCCACTAGGCAAGCAGGCAACCGATCAATTTATGACAAAATGACCAATAAATGTCGGATTGTAAAATTTTTCGGTATTCCCGGCAATCGAACAAAATTTCATTCATTTTTCTTGAACAAAAGTTTGTATATTTCGAACGTGTAATGAGATCAAATCGAGTTTTGTTGCAAAATTTAGTTTGTTTTCATTTTATTTAAACATTGAGTTTCTATATGAAAATTATATTACAGTCTTTTGATTCAACATTAATGTTGTACATTTGCAACAGATGAATTCGGAATGAATTTTGTCGCGAATAAACAGTTACAATAAACAAATTACTCACGTTTTGCATTATATTAGCACCTAATTTTAACCTGAAACATGTCGACTATATATAAGTCCGCAAATGTCGATTTGCAGAGAAATTAAACAACCCAATGACACAATTTTTTGAGGCGGAAATGAAAGATAGAAAACTTGAAAAACAAATTCAATTTTATAATTATTTTTTAAGGGCGAAAATAAAATACGAGTTATTTGATTTTCATTCATATAAATAGAATGTGGTAAACTTTATGTATGTAGGGTAGAGCGGGGCTAGTTGAGCATAGGGGCAAGTTGAGCAATCGAAATATCTCGGAAACTATTCACTGTCCGTTTTGGCATTATATGGCGGAAAGATAGAGGTTTGGGAGAAATAAACATCCCGCGATCGCTAGTTGCCGCTGGACAAATGAGTGAGGCTCACGGCCGTTTTGTTTCTTTTGAGACCAAAAAGTAAAAAAGTAATTCAACACGAGTTTTCGTCTGGTTCAGTCAAATGTTATTTATTTTAGTTGGGTAAATGTTATTCTTCCATATAATTATAGTACTTTTAATATGCACAGACATTCTGGGTATAATTCTCGCGTTTTTTTTTATAAACTCACTTTTATTTTGAAATTCCGAGTTGGGGTTAGTTGAGCATAGTTGCTAAACTTGTTCTGTCACTAAAACAATTACCATTAACTTCCAGAAATTAATTATTATTTTTAAGATTTAAGCTATCTTTGAGTAATAATATAAATAAATAATGATTTTAAACAAAAATACTAAATATAATGGTAAAATAATTCCTAAGATACGATATTGTTTTGTTGATTCTACTTTTCATTAATTATTCAAAGCAAATTACTATAAGTTTTGTTTTCTCTGTCAATAAAGACTATAAATACAGAACTGGTTATTAAAACCTTATTTTATTTCATCACTAATCGACATTGAACCTATGATTTCATTATACTTTCTTAGTGCTCAACTTGCCGCACCTATGGGGTACATTAAGCATACTTGCCTTTTTGCATTTAAACAGCTGTAGCTTTATAATTTTATTTATTACCAGAAAATAGTATTAACACTTTTGTTAAGCGATAAACAACAAATCCATTGAGTCGTACGGCAATTTATTGAGACTTTTCATTGAGGAGCTACATCCGTTTAAGTAAAAATTTGCTCAACTAGCCCCGCCCTACCCTAATAATAAATTTTTTGTAATATGTATAATAATTCTCATTAAATAATAATACATCACCTTGCTGTTCTTACTATATACATTTCAAGGATTTATTATATATAAAGACATTTGATTTTTAATTATTTAAAATATAAAAATATAAATTATTTTTAAACCATTGAATTTACTGATGGATTTTCATTTTGCAAACTAAGGTTTTAATATTTATTATAAATAAATAATGTTCATTTTACATTTAACGAATAATAATGTTTACCCATATAAGTTAGCATATTATTTGATAATACATCAAACTCACAATAATGAACGCTAAAAAGATATTTTAATTCAAACATGTACTCATTAGGCACAAAATCTATTGTTAATTTATATTTTGCATTTGAGTTGTTCTCATTTCAAATACTTTACTATATATTTATATTTAAAAATTTAAATATGAATGAACTCTACACATTGTATACAAATAAATATGAACACATATTTTGCATACAGCAATTTTTAAATATATATTTTTGTATTTCATGAAAAAAGGTATCGTTTTGCGTCATTTTATAACTACGGTCTCATAAAATTGGCAATATATCTAGGTAAAATCTGGTTGCTCCTATCTCCGCCAGAACCTCGGAAATCATTTTCGTCGCCTGGAATATAAAGTTTTATCATTTTACTACGGATCCGCATAAAAATCTTCAACTCGGGTGCTAACGATTCTTTTGTACTATTAATTTGTTCTCGATGTCTTGCGAAATCGAGAATATTGCTCATGACATCATTTTACATCTCTTTTTGTATCTGCCTCTTGCTCATTTTTTTGATTGCTTCGATCATAAATGTCCTAGTGGAAGAGTACCATAATGGTACTGTTTCTCTGTCGAACGTGTGCCCGTTCAAAAAAACATCGTCTGCCTTTGTGATTTATGGTCATAGCATAAGATACACTTTTTGAAAATTGAAGTCTTCTAAAGGGTATAACAAATTCAGAAAGAAATAATATATAGCATTCGCGGTAAAGGTACAATATCACCTTGGATTTTTCTGCCCAAAATAATTGCTTCAATAATGTTGCCTATAATTTTATAATTTCGTACCATATTTTAACTGGCTTTTAGTAATTTTAATATCTAAATTATATTATTCTCACTAATAATATACATTATTACTTAAGTTTATAATTGAAGTGAATTAATTTGTCAAATCCTGTTTACATGTGCCATTCAACCTACGATCAACAAAATTTTCGCAGTAAATGGAGAGGAAAAAAGCGTGTGCCATGCGTTTTTTTTACTGTGCTCCAATTTGCTTGATATTTTGGATATAGGCTCATCTTCATCTTAAGTTCAGAAGTGAAAACAATTTGCACTTCTTCACCACCCCCGGCATCAATTGGATTATAACTTTTTTAATTCTGATTTTATCATAAATTATAATATACTATTGTAAAGGTAATTAAATGACCTACAACTTTCTCTATCATAAATTTCACCGTAACTTTTTGTATTTTGAAACGGCGAAGGGTTAAATGGCTTGAAAGAAACTCGGTTGGACAGCCGCGCACTCTTTAAACAATCATAACCTTATCAATATTTGTGTAACAGAAAAATGATAAAAAGCAATAATTAGTCAGAAAAAGACCTTGAATTTTCATCTATATACCTTTATACGTATTTTTTCTTCTTTCAGAGATATAATAATGAGAAATCGGTTGTTTTTTTTGAATAGATTTTTTTTCATGGAATAATGAGTTTTTTGGAAATCGTTTGTACTAAAGTTGTGGTATTTTCTAGAATCCATCAAGATCTCTTAAACCAAGTTAATTCTAGAGGTAATACGATTATTTTTAATTTTGGTGGAGAACCATTTTTTATCATTTGGTGAAAAAAAAAATATAAACATATATATGCTAGCCAGAACGTATGGATTTTAAATAAATTTCTAAAAACTTTCATACTATTTTTATTGATGTAACGCCCCACTTTTAAACTCAAGTTAAATATACATATATGTGTGTGTGTGTGTGTGTGTGTTTAAAATATACATATCATTTTGAAACAGCTTGACAAAATTGTTTTTTTTAGGGAAATCTCTACTTTATACTAAAAGCGCACCAGTTCTTCGAATGATTATTAGCAATGATGATTTAGAAAATTATGGAACGACAGATGAAAGTAAAGAATTGAGAGAAGTTGTGTATATTTTGAAAAATCACGATCTGGTCACACTTGATGATAGAGATCAGCTTAGTAGACTAATTATCACATTCAGATTAGGAGATGGATATAAGGTAAATCACAGTTACTAGAATAATAAATTGTTTGTAAATTTCGCATGTGTGTAAATATTATTTAAAATTATATTTATTACAACTATTTAACCCTACTCTTATATTCAATATATTATGTCATTTTTTAAATGCTACTTTCGAATACAAACAGTATGAAGAAGAGTGTATTACATGTTTAACGCCGTATTAACTAATTAATGATTGAATAAGATTGAAGAATTGTAAACTAAGAAGAATTTGATAATTAACTAAGACTAACTAATGCTAACGATGGTTACGAACTCGTAATGTTAAGTACGATCAAATCACTGCGTTTGAAAATACACAAAACTCTAAATTGTTACTTTTTATTACCACCTCCTATCTTTTAAGTAATCTAATCATTTTCCGTCCCGCGTGCAGTGAATATTTTTGACTTAATATTAGTTCAGATTTTTAACTTCCCGTAGGGCAAGTCATAGTAATCGCAAAAAAAAATCGAAAATGAAAATTTTTATATACTTTTACGTTTCAAAGGTTTCTAAATATTTTGGCATACCTTAGAAAAAATGGATGTATGTGTGTGTGTATGTGTGTGTGTGTGTGCGTGTGTGTATGTGTGTGCGGATACAAATTTTTGTCAACGATTTCGGGAACACCAATCAACCGATTTGAATAATTCAAAAAACATTCGATTCGTATTGATAAGGAGACGTGTTGATTAGTTTTTGGCAAAGGCAGGTCTAGCCGTTCCGAAGATACGGGACAAAAAGTGCCAAAAATGGTAACTAAATTTTTAAGAGAACGGAGCGTCCGATTTTAATAATTCAAAAAACATTTTATTTGTATTATAAGATGAAGAATTGGTCAAATTTTCATGAAGGCAGGTTTAGCGGTTTCGGAGATCTAATAAAAAAAGTAAAAAAATGCCATTTGGCAGTCAAAAATGACGATTAAACATATGCTCATCAAATTATCAGATATTTTGTAGAGATTTTAACAATAAGTATAAATTTTGTTTTGCATTTCTATGGGATCCGTACCAATGTTTATTCGCTAGACGGCGACGCGTCGCTTACGCGCTTTGACGTTTTGCCTCTATGCAGTCAAAACAGTACGATTGCTTTGAAAAAAGTTCAAAATTTCCAAAATACGTCAAAATAAAGAAAACATTTAAAAAAAAAATCAAAAAAAAAGAAATTTTTTTCGAATTTATAGTTTCTCAAAAATCTAATTTTTTCGAAGAAATTTTTTTTCAAAAATGTTAATAGTTTTTAAAAAAATAATAATTTTTGGTACGGGTAGTTCCAGCAATTTGTCTTAAGGCACGATGCCATGCGCCCCACTAGTTTGATTTTACGAAAAGTTTAAATTTTACCTAAAAGCAATTTATTAACTTACCGTAGGGCAAGTTGTAGTAATCGCAAAAAAATCGAAAATGAAAATTTTTATATATCTTTACGTTTCGAAGGTTTCTTAATATTTTGGCTTATGTGTGTGTATGTGCCGATACAAATTTTCGTCGACAATTTCGGGAACATCGATCAACCGATTTGAATCATTTAAAAAACATTCGGTTCGTATTGATAAGGAGACGTGCTGATTAGTTTTTGGCAAAGGCAGGTTTAGCCGTTCCAAAGATACGGGGCAAAAACTGCCCAAAATGGTAACTCAGTTTTTATGAGAACGGAGTGGCCGATGTTAATAATTCAAAAAACATTTTACTTGTATTGACAAGATAAAGAACTGATCAAATTTTCATGATGGCAGGTCTAGCGGTTTCGGAGATCTAATGAAAAAAGTAAAAAAAAGCCATTTGGCGGTCAAAAATGATCATTAGACATATGCTCATCAAATTATCAGATATTTCATAGAGATTTTAACAATAAGTATTTACCAATGTATTTTTTCAAAAATAATATTTTTTTCAAGAAATAGTAATTTTTTGTCAAATTTATAGTTCCTCAAAAATCTATTTTTTTCGAAGTAAAATTCTTTAAAAAATGTTAATCGTTTTTATAAAAATAATAGTTTTTGGTATGGGAAGTTCCAGCAATTTGCCTTAAGGCATGATGCCATGCGCCCCACTAGTTTTTATCAACGGTTGTCCGTTCCATCTTTGTAAAATTTGTGGTTAATTTTCTTTTTTAACTTCCCTTAGGGTAAAAATTTTTATATGCCTTTACGTTTCAAAGGTTTCTGAATATTTTGGCATACCTTAGAAAAAAAATGGATGTATGTGTGTGTGTGCGGATACAAATTTTCATCGACGATTTCGAGAACACCGATCAACCAATTTCAATAATTCTTAAAACATTCGATTCGTATTGATAAGTAGACGTGCTGAGCAAAGGTTGCGTTTTTGTTCATATAGTTTGATTTTTAACTTTGTTATCTAACATAAGTCATAATTTGATAAACATTTCGTAAAATGTTTTATGATTTATTTATAAATAACCTTGGGTGTCCGGCGCTTGGGGACTTCACTCTACATTTGTCCAATAAACATTTTTGACCGCCAAATGACATTCTTCTAACTTATATTCATTGAGACTCCATAACCGCTGGACCTGCCTTACCAAAAATTTAATTAGTTCTACATCTTGTCAATATAAGTAAATGTAAAATGGATTATTAAAATTGGACGCTCCGTCCTCTTAAAAACTGAGTTACCGTTTTTGGCACTTTTTGCCTCGTATCTTCGGAACGGGTAGACCTGTCTTCGCCAAAAACTAATCAGAACATCTCCTTATCAATACGAATCGAATGTTTTTTGAATTATTCTAATGGGTTGATCGGTGTTCCCGAAATCGTCGACAAAAATTTGAATCCGCACACACACACACACATACAAACAAATACATCCAGTTTTTTTAAGGTATGCCAAAATATTCAGAAGCCTTTGAAACGTAAAGATGTATAAAAATTTTCATTTTCTATTTTTTGCGATTACTATAACTTACCCTACGGGAAGTTAAGAATTCTCTATAAGTTTTAGCTTCTAATATTAACTTTTAGATAGTGCGCAACTCATTTTTTCGATCTTCAAAAATTTTGAAAACGTTTTCCAGGTATGCTTTAGCAACAAATGATTTAAAAGTGACAATTCGTGTCATTCTTTATTGAAAATTCGACGCTCTGCTAAACAAGTTTTTATCATTTGTTTTGTAGAGCGTCAAATTTTCTTGATATGAGTTTCAGCCAGTCGTCGAAATAACAGATACAAATAAATACAAAATATTTATTTATAATATGTGTTTCGGATTGTGTGTCATCATTCAGCAATTCTTTTTTTACAGTATTTAAAAAATATTTACAATGTTTTTTGAAAAATAAACTTAATTTAATATTGAAAATAATTAAAAGGTATATATACCACACCAGGAATTTTTTTTAATAATAATTACATAAGAAAAACCATAAATTACATATTAAGTAAATATATATACTAACAATTTTAACTGAACGTGTTTTGTTTTTAATTTTAAAACTGTACTTTATGTAATGTAGTTTAATGCGTATGCGACTGCAACGCCAACGAGAACCACGTGACACACAGGAGAGAAGAAAATTGATTTCCAGGGATAGTTGAACCGTGAGGACAAAAATTTGGAAAATAAAACCTATCAAATAAACATGAAACAACAATACTCAACAATTTGGAAAATTATTTATTTTTTTGAAAAAAATTGATAAAATTATGACAAGAGTCATGTACAGGAGAAGGAGAATTTTGTTTATTAACGCAAAGTGGTTTTAAAAAAATAAATACAGATTCAGCAAATTTTCTGAGGTCAACATTCTTTTCTTTATGTAAAATAATAGGGTTTTTGGTATTGAAAGTTAATAAACAAAATTCTGCTTTTCTAGTAAATGACTCTTATCATAATATTATCAAGTTTTTCACAAAATAAATAATTTTCCAAATTGTTGACTATTGTTGTTTCATGTTTATTTGATAGGTTTTATTTTCCAAATTTTTGTCCTCACGGTTCAACTATCCCTAAAAATCAATTTTCTTCTTTTCTGTGTGTCACGTGGTTCTCGTTGGCGTTGCAGTCGCATACGCACAAAACTACATTACATAAAGTTCAGTTTTAAAATTAAAAACAAAACATGTTCAGTTAGCATTGTTTGTTTATATATTTATTTTACAAGTAATTTAGGGTTTTCTTATGTAATTATTATTAAAAAAAATTTTTTTCTGGTGTGGTATGTATATCTTTTAATTATTTTAAATATTAAATTGAGTTTATTTTTCAAAAAATCTTTATAAATATTTTTTCGATACTGTTAACAAAGAAATGCTGAATGATGACACACAATCCGCGTCGAAACGTATATTATGAATAAATATTTTGTATTTATTTGTTTCTTTTATTTTGACGACTGGCTGAAAATTTTATCTAGATATGTCTCAACGTCGAACAAAAAACCTAAATATTATATATATATATATATATATATATATATATATATATATATATAACAAATGTATTCTGAGTGGATATTAGATATTAATTTGGAAATATGAACAAACAACACTCTTTTTTGCACTAATTTATTAAATAATAATTTTCACAAACGTTTTGAGACTAGGTTTGTCTCATCATCAGTGTGTTATAATTTAAAATTTAAAATATGGAAATCTAAATTAGCATTTTGTGTTATCTATTACAAGTCGCTCGTTACACTGTATCTGTATTGTGTGTGACTGTGTATCGAGAGACTTGTAACAGATAACACAAAATGCTAATTTAGATTTCCATATTTTAAATTTTAAATTATAACACACTGATGATGAGACAAACCTAGTCTCGAAACATTTGTGAAAATTATTATTTAATAAATTAGCGCAAAAAAGAGTGTTGTTTGTTCATATTTCCAAATTAATATATATATATATATATATATATATATATATATATATATTATATATATATATATATATATATATATATATATATATATATATATATATATATATTAGGGCGGGTCGATTTGTATGGGTGAAGGAAGTCACATAGACTTATATGATTTTTGTATACTAGGGATCAAAATAAGATACTTTGCCGAAGATACCATATCTCTAAAATGAATTCTGATGTCTCGTGCATTCACCCAAAGATTGGGTCAAATCTAAAAAAAATCTTGTTTTGGCTCATTTAAAGCGCCTCAATAATGTCCAAATGTATGACCGACCCCAGTAACTTTGAAAGGCCGATCTTCCCATGCCCCAGATTCACCCCCTGGGACCTCGCTTTAGAGGTCACCCATTCAAAAGTTGCTTCATTTTGGGTACTTCAACATGACAAAAGTCTGCGATTTATTTTTATTATAAAATTTATTTAACCATAAGATATATAAGTAAAACTATGTAAAACTCGTAAACTATTGTTTGAAGTCTTTTTTAGTTTCAAGTCTGGCAAATTTTGTACGGTTCTCTAATATCGTCGCCGTATCAGCCTCTAACTAGCATAGAAGCGCAGAGACAAAATGCATTGGAAAAATTAAAACAAAGAAGGATTTTAATAAAAGAAATAAATGCGTAATTGCGTAATAATGAATTAATATTTGAAAAAAAAAAATGTTTGACGATGATTTTTTGCAATATTTGTATCGGTGACTTCTAATGGGAGTTCCCAGGGGGTGAACCATAGGCATGGGTGGATCGGCCTTCCAAAGCTAGTTGGGATTTGTTATACATTTCGACGCGATTGGAGCACTCTAAATGGATTAAAACGGAATTTTTCAAAATTAAATCTATTTCTTTGGGTCAATGTACGGGACATTAGAATTTATTTTAGAGGTTGAACCTTCAATATGAGGGTTCTTATTGAACTCTAGTATCCGAAAATTATATGCGCCCAAGCAACTTTTAAATCGACCCGCCCTAACATATTTATATATATATATATATATATATATATATATACTAGCAAACCCGACGAACTCCGTTTCGCCACCAGATGGTTTCGTGAGAAAGATGAAGAAATTTTTTGTTTGATTTATATTTGAAAAGGAAAAATTTGATTATATTATACAACAGTAATGAATTTATTACAATTACAAAAATGAAGTGTTTTTTAGTTGAACTTCTCTAAGTAAAAGAAATTGAATCCGCAAATTATCCGTTTCATTAAAGTGCTCTTTGGTAAACTACATTTTTTGTTTTTTGGTCTGACGTTAACACAAACAAAGCGGATGGTCTTACAACTCGTGAAAAGGCAACGTATAACTGCCCATGTAAAAACAATGATTTTTTAAATAATATATTTGAAATTTATCCCGCAAGCACTAAGCGATTGGCCTTGCGACTTGTTATTGCGAACTGGAAATTGCAATCGTTTGAAGTCAAACGGAAGACCAGTCAGAATTATTGGTATGTCACCAAATTGCCAGCAATTTTTGATTAAATGGTGAAATTCAGGGCGTGTACATCATTATTCTTTGCGGCAAGAATTGCTCGTTGACTTAACCAAGCATAATTCTGATAATTCTCACTAATGTTATTACTCGAATTTTTAATTACGGTGCGTGAAGTTCCAGCAATTTGCATTAGGGCACGATGCCATGCACCTCACTTTTCTTAGCCCTAAACCTTGCGGAGCCCGAGACCTTTCCAACGAATGCAAAATTATCGAAATCGGTTCGTGAGTTCTGGAGTTATTTCGTCAGGAAGGAAAACCTGACTTATTTATTTATATATATATAGAAGATAATCTATTTGAAATTATTTAAAACAGTTATTGATTATTTTTATTATTCGAATTTTTAATTACGGTGCGTGAAGTTCCAGCAATTTGCATTAGGGAACGATGCCATGCACCACTAATTTTCTTAGCTATAAACCTTGCGGAGCCCGAGACCTTTCCAACGTATGCAAAATTGTCGAGATCGGTTTGTGCGTTCTGTAGTTATTTCGTCAGGAAGGAAAACCCGACTTATTTTTATATACAGGGTCCGGCGCTCGAAGTGTAACCAACTTCAAACCGCTCGCGTAGCTGATGCACGGGTACCAATTGAAAGTAAGTCAGCTAAATGATAGTTTGGTGTATTGTTTATGAACACACGAAAGTATTTAGTCGACGGTGAACGCGAAAAAAAGAAATCAGTAATGGATTTCAAACGTAACAATGTGATTACATTATATTTAACTGGAAAATCAAAACCAGCGATTGTTCGAGGACTCAAACACCTTAAAGTGAATAAAGTTTTCGTTTATAGCACCATAACTCGTTACAATGAAACTGGTAGCATCGTAAAACGTCATGAAAGTGGTCACCAAAGACTGCAATGTCACATGAGATGGTCAAAAAAGTGAGAAAGCAACTCGAGCAAAATCCCCGACGAAGTGCCAATTAAATGGCAGAAGAACTTAACATATCTGACCGCAGCATCCGCCGCATACTAAAAAATTATCTCAAGGTCAAGCCTTATAAGATCCAAACGGCACATGATCTTAGGCCGAAGCAGTAGCAAGTGAGACTTCAGAGAGCTAAGGAGTTGCTTCGCCTGCCGAAAGTGATAAATTTCCGAACATTGTGTTTTTCGACGAGGAAATTTTCACAATTAAGCAATTCTTAAACTCTCAAAACGATAGGGTTTACTTGACTGAACGTTCAGACAAGAATTTGAGCCATCGATTGGCCACCAGGAGGCAACACCCGCCACAGATAATGGTTTGGGCCGCTGTACCCGCAGATGGGCGATCTCCAATAGTTTTCATCGAGCCTGGCGTCAAGGTAAATGTGCAATATTATCGGTAAAGTATTCTGAAGGTTGCTTTGAAGCCATGGGTAGACAAACATTTCGGTGGTAGACCATGGACGTTTCAACAGGACTCGGCACCGTCTCATAAAGCTCGAGTGAACCAAGAATGGCTGAAAAACAACTTTTCGAACTTCAAAACGTCCGCACAATGGATCTCGAATTCACTAGACGCAAATCATATGGATTATTCTCTTCGGGCCATTTCGGAGATCAAGGTCCGAACTAAGGGGTACATCAGTCTCAAGGCGCTAAAAAAAGCCGTTGTCCGCCAGTGGGCCAAAATACCTGCAAATCACGTTCGGCCAAATGCGATTTGTTTTTGGACCGTCTAAAGGCCATAGTCAAAGCAAAAAGTGGTCATGTCGGGAAAAAGTGAATTGTTCTTAAATTTTGTATTATTTTTACACATTCTGTACTTTGAATCGAGTGAAATTGATTTTCCAAACTGAATTTATGGCTCTTTCAATTGGTTACACTTCGAGTGCCGGACCCTGTATATAGAAGATATCAGCGTCCGCAGGCTAATTTTCTTCTAGATCCCCCTCCCTATTATTTTAACACTTTTAACAGTTTATCATTACAATTAACCCAAACGTTTCTGAATAAATTTAGCCAAAAAAACTTTCCACAATATCCCGCATAAAATGATAGGCATTTAACTTTATGCAATCACATTAGTATTTACATCCTTCAACTTTAAAATCGAAATCACGTTTCACTTGAATTTAACTTTATAAATAGTTGATTTCTCTTATTGGAGTGATTCTCCAACTATCAATACATTATTTATCATAATAATTAATATGTGTGTTTGAAAGTGTGCATATGTATGTCATTGAATGATATAAGCGAAATGGCTCATAGAATTGTAATGTATTCTAATTGTTATTGAAAATAAAATTGAAAAAAAATAAATTATTCATATAATATAAATTTAGTATCGTATAATGTTTTTTTAATCATATAATCAAAATTTCTATAGGTTATATTACGTTTTCGATTCCCTATGACGATGCTTTCATGGTCTCTCACAAGTGTAGAATTGGAGGATTCGAAAGGTTTGTATCTCGTCCTGCCAGTGGTTAGCGGAATTCCAACTGCTCCCATTGGATTCTCTTATAAATGCTCTAGCCCATTGGTGTTTAAGAATGGTACAACTACACTGAGCTTGTTCAATGTTCAGGTAAATAAATTTTCATGTTATACCCACCAAATATTTTTTTATTTTGTTTTTGTTTATTTTTGTGATCATATTAGTGATTTGAGATTTAATGTATAAAATAAACTAAGATTAGCGACTAGATATATTTTACGTATCTTTAGTACGCAATTGAAAATAAAGTTTAAATTATTACATAATAAACTTTCCGTAGGGTAAGTTATAGTAATCGCAAAAAAAACAAAAATAATTTTTTTTGTATATATTTACATTTTTGGTACTATAATTTTGGCATACCTTATAAAAATTGATGTATGTGTGTGTGTATGTATGTGCGGGTACAATTTTTTGTCGACGATTTTGACAAGACGGATCAACCATCCAACCAATTTGAATAGTTCAAAAAACTATTCGATTTCTATTAATGAGGAGATGTGCTGATTAGTTTTTGGCAAAGGTAGGTCTCACTGTTTCGAAGATATGGGGCAAAAAATGCCAAAAATAGTATTTCAGTTTTTGAAAGCATCCTATTTGAATAATTCACTAAACATTTTACTTGTATTGATGAAATGAACAAAATTGGGATAACAGGTATAGCCTTTTCGGGAATCTAATGAAAAAAGTAAAAGCATGCACATCATATTTTCAGATATTATATAAGGGTTCCGTACCAATGTTTACACATTACACTACGACGCTTCCACATAATAGATATCAAGGTCTTATAGAACATACTGAAAAATTACGGCCCTACGACAAGTAGTTTATTTTTTAAAATTCACAGATATTATAAATATGTTTGGAAGATATTAATTGGAAACCGCAATATCTATTATTTCAATTACTACTGATGGGGTGAAGACTGGTTCAGCCATTTTAGGCATACAATGCACAGAATACATAGATAAAAATTAAACATTTGAGAAAACACTCCTTTCGATTTGAATGATTTTTCAATATAAATTCAATGTGTAATGATGAAAGAAAGTGGTGATTAGTTTTCGGCAACGACAGGTCCAGCATTTTTGGAGATGCTCCATTTTTTTAAAACTATTTGATTTACAAATTTTTTCTGCATGTCGAAAAAAAATTGGATTTTAATTTCAATTCCAGCTAAAATACTAAAGCTCATTTATATACTTCATATAAATAATTTTAACTTTGCAATTCAGTTTATATAATTCTTGGAAATATGAGACCCTTTATTCTAACTCCGCTTTTTTAAGCTTGTTCATTTACTTTTCAGGTAAACATAATTAAACACTGTCGTCAATCATACGCATTTATATTTAAAATATGAACATTTATAAAATACAAACCAAGGAAGTTAAATTTATAATTTATAATAATATATTTACGGTACGATTATTTCCTGCAATTTGCCTTAAAGCACAATGTTATGCACCACTAGTTGAATTTATTTTCGTACCAATTTCCTTAACTGTTTATTTTATTAGTTCTAGTGCTTTTGTACTAGAAATTTTTGATCTCATGGATGAACTTAAGTTTTTTTAAAAAAATATTTTATTTTGATTAAGACTGTTGTTTTTTATTATATACATTTGATATCTATTTTTCATTATGCGCGATTGAAATACAAACTAGTTCGTATTGGAATTTTGCCATGAGGTAAGTTACATGAACTTCCCGATATGTGTAAATAATCGACTTAATCAATAAATAATAAATTAATTTATGAGTGATTAAAATTATTTAGTGTGGATTTATTATAAATCATTGAAAACGAACGATTGAGTTAACTCGAAGTATTTTCTAAAAGCAAATTTTCAAAAATCAATAATTTTTATTATTGAACCAGTTTCCGTAGGACTTTCATGGTTTAATATGCTCATTAAAACCAAGAACTCTATTATTATACCAAGTAAATCGTCTAATTTTAATTTTAACGAACGTCAATAAAACTACTTATTTTCTCTAAATTTGATGAATTTTTAAAATTAAACTACTTGTCGTAAGGCCGTCGTAATATTTCAGTAAGATTAAGAAGACCATGATATCTATTGTCATGAAAAGTTCCATAAAAATCGGCTTTAATTTTATGTTTTAACAGTTAATTACAAGAAAACGGTTTGGTAGATTTTCACCTAAAATTGATCAGCACGATTCCCAACTAATATTTTTCGAACAGTTTTTGATTTTTTAAAATCGATTCGGTAGTATGAGCTTAATTGCGGATGAAAAGAACACTTTTTCGCAAATTACAAAGAAACGGCAGATTGTCGCACAGAACTGACCAACGATAGTCCTTATTGAGATATATCTAATGGCTTTTGAATTTCTGAAATCGGTTCAGGCGTTTTTGAGAAAATTTTAGTTTTGACAAACGCCAAAAAAACGATTCAATTTTTGCAAACTTTGACGAATTTTTAAAGTTAAACTATTGTCGTACGGCCGTAATATTTTAGTATGATCTATAAGACTACGGTATCTACCGTCAAAACAAAATTCATGCAAATTGTCGATTTTTTTTAACACTTTATTGCAAGAAAACGGCCCAGCCGATCTTCACCACAATTTTAGCCGTTTTTGAGAAAACGTCCATTTACGGCAAAAAATCTGTCCACATATACACACATACTTCTTCCAAATTTGGTCTCATTCGATTCAGAATGGCTTGAAACGTCGAGAAAACATAAAATTAGCGAATCAGATTTTTTTATGAAAACACTAGCAAACCCGACGAACTCCGTTTCGCCACAAGATGGTTTCGTGCGAAAGATGAAGAAATTTTTTGTTTGTTTTATATTTGAAAAGGAAAAATTTGATTTTATTACACAACTGTAATGAATTTATTTCGATTACAAAAATGAAGTGTTTTTTAGTTGAACTTCTCTAAGTAAATGAAAGTGAATCCGCAAATTATCCGTTTCATTGAAGTGCTCTTTGGTAAACCACATTTTTCGTTTTTTGGTCTGACGTTAACCCAAAGAAAGCGGATGGTTTTCCAACTCGTGAACAGGCAACGCATAACTGCCCATGTGAAAAACAATGATTTTATAAATAATCTATTTGAAATTTATCCCGCAAACACTAAGCGATTGGCCTTGCGAATTGTTATTGAGGCGAACTGGAAATTGCAATCGTTTGAAGTGAAACGGAAGACCAGTCGGAATCATTGGTATGTCACCAAATCGCCAGCAATTTTTTATTGAATGGTGAAATTCAGTGCGTGTACATCATTATTCTTTGCGGCCAGAATTGCTCGTTGACTTAACCAAGCATAATTCTGATAATTCTCACTAATGTGATTACTCGAATTTTTAATTACGGTGCGTGAAGTTCCAGTAGCTTGCATTAAGGCACGATGTCATATACAACTAATTTTCTTAGCTATAAACCTTGCGGAGCCCGAGACCTTTCCAACGAATGCAAAATTGTCGAAATCGGTTTGTGCGTTCTGGAGTTATTTCGTCAGAAGGAAAACCCAACTTATTTTTATAAATATGGAAGATGAACGTCTCCTTCTGAAAGTTAATAAAGCCTTAATATTTGATGGTTTTACCACAAACTGTTATTCTTTAAAAATTATTTAGATTTATTATAACAAGCTGAATTATTATGAACTTTTCGTAATTATTTTTCCGTTTGTAACGTTTGGAAATTTTACTATTTTATTTCTGATGCTGTTAACGTGATATTTTTAGTACAATTATTACAACCAACTAAGGATGTTTGTGGACAATGAGAACATGCATTTCATTAATATCTTCATTTATTGAAGTTTAAAGAAGTTTCCAAAAAACGTAGCGCATGATTCGTTCTAATTTCTATACGTCGCGACAGTTTTTTGAAATTCCACGGAAAGAAATATCATATAATTCAAAAGAGTGGAGAACACTTTCTAAACAACCCATAGTAAATCCTGAGAAGAAAACACTGTCTTATCCTTGCAGAGATCTATTCTCAACGCTTCAATACGATATACAAACTGAGTATATACAATTTATAGACTTTGGGGAGAAGTCCCGTAACGCCGGACAGCACCTAATGACTGACACTCTATTTAGCACGTATTATTTAAGCGAATTGAATCTTTTCATACCAAAATACAAGTAAAAGAGGCGCGGGGGGCACACAGATGCAGGATCACGTGCCAAGACCCACCTGTGACGTACACGGCCACAGCGGGAGCAATCCTTTGCTGTTTTAGACGCAAAATCACAGCGTCACCTAAATATCAATGAAAGTAATTCTAGTATATTTATGCATTTACAATTGAGTGGCATTCAATGATAAAAGTAGTACTTGATTGTTATCCGTAAAATGGTAAAATATTATTAGCTATTTTAAACAGCTTTAGTAGGTATCACCAAATAAACGAACATGTCTGTCCCTCAGCACCGGACACTAATTGTCCCTTAGCGCCGGACAGTAAATATATTGGTATTTCTTGTGAGCATTGACGTAATTTATTTTATGTATATGATTTTGTTCTGTATGAATGCTAACGGTTTAAATACCCCCATTTTTCGTATTTCCTATTCATAGAATGAAAATATAAGGATTATGAGCTCCAGCTGAGAGCATCGGTGTGGCCCAGCCAAAAGGGTGGATAAATAGTGAATTATAGCAGTATCTAAGAATATTCGTCAAACACACATGTGCAGACACTAGTGTGGAGATAGCTACCTATGTGTTCAATATGGTTATTTTGAAATATCCGGTACTAGGTGCCACTTTGTAAAATCATATTTCTTGTTACCAAAGTTTGATTGATAGTATTAATTATTTGTTAGCAAAATTGCGGTTTTGTTAATTTAGTTTGATTTATAACTTTGTTATCTAACAAAAATCATAATTTAATAAACATTTCGTAAAATATTTTTTGATTTATTTATAAATAAAATATAAATCTTCAGAATCGCTAGCCCCGCCTTTGCCAAAAACTAATCAGCGCGTCTCCTCATCAATACGAATCGAATGTTTCTAAAATTATTGAAATCGGTTGATCCATGTTCCCGAAATCGTCGACGAAAATTTATATCCCCACACACACGTAAACACAAACACACACTCATAAATACATCAATTTTTTCTAAGGTATGCCAAAATGTTCAGAAGATTTTGAAACGTGAATACATATAAAAAAAAATATTTTCGTTTTTTTTGCGATTACTATAACATACCATACGGGAAGTTAATAATACATAAAAATATAAAGATATTTAGAAATAGAAATTAATTTTTTCTGAATTGATGAATTTTCAAATCTCGGTGTTCGTAGTTTCTAATGTTCAGAAAAATTAGCGAATTTTAAAAAAATTCAAATTGTTAATGTGATCTTTTTTATTTTAATTTTTATGTACATATATGAATTTTGATTGTGATATAATTTAAAAAAAATGAATTATATTATTAAATAAAATAATGTAAAATAAGTATGCTTGGACCAAATTCGAAAACACTGCATCTAGTATGTGAAGTGTTTAATATCTGAGTTATTAAAATATTATTAAAACAAATGTAACACTTTTTGTAAGATTGCTAAAAAACTTTAGCGCTTTCATGCATTGGAAAGGATTCCAAGAATTTGTAATAACTACAGTAAAATGAATAAATAGTATTTCAATTTTTGAGAAATGCACATTGTCTTGCTCAACTTGTAATAGTCAATTGAAAACAAAAAAACATCATTGTCAAAATCATATAAAATATTTTGAATTTAATATAAGTATTTTCTAATCATAAAATTCTTGAATATTGTTGTAAACATTGCTTAAATAAGTGAACTAAGCATTTAATTATGAATTCGGAAAATACGTGTTCATGCTGTAGTATTGCAGTTGCCTTAGACAAGATGGTGACATGTATTTCGTGCAAAACTAAGTTCAAGTATTCATGCGTGAACTTGAGCATGGCTGATGTTCGAGCAATATCATCAAAAAAGGAATAATGTGGAGTTGCAATGCATGTGCTAATCTCGGTAATGACCTTAATGATATCAATAGTATGTTAATGCAGCTACAACGAGAAATAGCTGCACTAAAAGATCATAGTTCTTGCAACAATAATATTCTGGATGATGATCAATTTGAAGCATTAGTTCAAGAGACTTCTGAACGCAATAAACGTTCATATAATATCATAATATATAACGCCAAAGAGCCTCTTAATGACGTAAACAGTTACGATAAAAGTGTTGATACAAATATGGTTAACAATATATTTGAAGCTTCATTAGGAGTATCTTGTGTTCCGTCGAGCTTCGAACTATTTAGATTGGGTAAATATGATTTGAAAAGGACTAAGCCAAGACCGCTTAAAATTATCTTTAAGGATAATAACTTACCAAAGAAAATTTTGTTTAACTGCAAGAAAATTAAAGATAATGCCCACTTCAAGAATTTGATTATCACTGAGGATCGGACACCAAGGCAACAACTTTATTATCAAAGACTGAAAGCTCAGCTACTTGAACGCGAGAAAAAAGGTGAAGTTAATCTTAAAATTAAATACATTAATAGCGTTCCTCGAATTGTTTCTTTAAACTAATTTCGCCCACAGATAGTAATGTCTTTACATGTTACTATCAAAATGTTCGTGGACTCAACACTAAAATTTCTGACTGCCTGCTCGCATCTAGTTATCTTGATTATGATTTTGTCGCCTTTTCTGAAACATGGCTTAGGAACGATGTTCACAACTCTGAATTCTTTTGCGACAGTTTCAATGTTTTCAGATGTGATAGAACTTATGGTATCAACAATAAATATCGCGGTGGTGGTGTACTTCTTGCAGTTAAAAAATATATTACTTGTGAACCTTTGAAATTGAACTTCATTTGTGAATCCCTTCCAATGATTGATATTGTTGGCTGCAAGTGTATCCTCAAGAATTCAAGCATATTAGTATTGACCGTTCACGTTCCACCTGATGTATCTACTGAGAATTTTGAAGCTTTTCTTGATCTACTAGAATCTTATGTTTCTGACAAAAATGTTTTAATTATTGGTGATTTCAATGTTCCACATTTCGATCAATTATCTCATAATCTTACTAATGCAAAATGTAACTTTATCTATAATTTTATTAACTTATCTGGTCTCAACGAATATAATTCTGTTATCAATATCAGTGGCAGATTGTTGGATTTAGTGTTTTGTTCTTACTTTTGCAACATAATTCATGATACCGAACCCCTTTTACCTGAGAACAATTATCATCCTGCTCTTTATATTTCTGTTTCCCTTACATCTTCTTTTTCCACACCCAATACTTTGCAATTTAATAAAAATAACTATCATTACAATTTCCACAAAGCGGATTATTCTAATCTTTACAAGAAAATTTTAAATACATCGTGGAGTTCTTTGTATACATGTTCTGACATTAATGATGCATGTGATCTTTTTTACGCTACAATTTATAGCTTATTAAATAATAAATAAATAAATAAATAAATATTAATAAATAAATAAATAAATAAATAAATAAATAAATAAATTATTAGATAAATTTGTTCCTAAAACAAAGAAATTTGCTTCCAATAAATTTAAGCCTTGGTTTAATTCTGATATTATTAGGAACCTCCGTATGAAGAAATACTATCATAATAAATACAAGTTAACCAATATCACTTTCTATTATGAAAATTTTAAATTGTACAGGAAATTAATAAAAACACTTATGTAAGATGCGTATAATTCATATATTATTGACGTTGAAAATTCTCTATCGCTCAATCCAAAATATTTCTGGTCTTTTTTGCGTAATAAAACTGCTTCTAATATTATTCCTAATAGATTGTGCTATCTAGACAAATATTATGATTCTCCTGATGCTATTGTAGATGCATTTAATTCTTACTTTATTAGTGTTTATCAGCCTAAACTTGACATACCCATTTTATTTGATCATAATGATAGAATCATGATTGATATAGGTGAAATTGATTCTAGTACTGTGCAACTTGCAATAGCAAGTTTTAAGAACTCCAAAATATTTGGTTTCGATGGTATTCAATCTTTCTTTATACGTGATTGCTCATCTACTCTATCTGATCCACTTGCATTTTTATTTAATCTATCATTGCGTACAAACACTTTTCCAAATTGTTGGAAAATTGCACGATTAGTTCCAACTTTTAAACAAGGTGTTACATCAAACATTACTAATTACAGGCCGATATCTTTATTATCAAACTTTGCTAAGATATTTGAAAAAATTATTTATAGAGAACTAATTCCTTCTGTTAGAACTTTAATTTCTATTAATCAACATGGATTCATGCCTGCCCGTTCTACGATAACAAATTTAATTTGTATTAAACAATATATAGCTGAGAATCTTGACATCAATGGACAAGTTGACGTTATTTACACTGATTTCAGTAAAGCTTTTGACAAAATTGATCATAACATTCTTTTTACTAAATTATCTAAGATTGGTCTTAATTTTTCACTTATTCACTTTTTTAAAAGTTATCTTCATAATCTTAAACAGTTTGTCTATCTTAATGGATTCTTGAGCAACATTGAAAATATTAGTTCAGGTGTTCCTCAGGGATCCATTCTTGGTCCACTACTATTTATTATTTTTATTAATGACATTTCTGATATTATTAGCTGTCCACATTTATTATTTGCAGATGATCTGAAATTATATCTCAAAATAAATTCTATTGATGACTGCTTATTATTACAGTCTCAACTTGACCTTTTCCACTCTTGGTGTATCTATAACAAATTACATCTAAATATATCAAAGTGCAAGATTCTTAGTTTTACACATAAGCGCGTTCCAATACTTTTTGATTATAAAATTTCTAACACCAGCATTGATAGATGTAATAAAATTTTCAATTTAGGTGTTCTATTTGATTCTGGTTTGTTTTTCACAGATCATGTAACTGATATTTGTAATAGAGCACATCAATCTTTAGGTTTGATACTGAGAAATTGTAAACAATTTAAGTCTACCAATGCACTTCTTTGCATGTACTATTCTATTGTACGTTCAAAATTAGAATACGGTTCGATTATTTGGTATCCTCATCATATCAACAACTCTGATGCAATAGAGAAGGTTCAGCGAAAATTTCTGAAATACCTTTTTTATAAAACATATAAAATTTACCCTGAACGTGGCTTTGACCACAACACTTTACTAAAAGAATTTGGTATTACTTCCCTTGCCTCACGTCGATTTATCTGTACAATTATGTTCTTATTTAAGCTTTGCAATAATTCTATAGACTGTCCTCTTATTCTCAATCAACTATCCTTTACTGTTCCAAGGCTATCTTTGCGTTCACAATTATTTTTCAATTATCCTACCCCTAAATCTAATTCTCTCTTAAATTCGCCAATTTTACTTATGTCCTCTAACTTTAACTTAATTAATAATGAAATAGATATTCCCAACACTTCACCTAATCAAATAATCTCCATCTGCATAAATTAACCTTTTTATTTTCTTTTCAAATATCTCATTATTTTCTTATTCTGTTTTTAAATAATATTGTTACATTCTGCATTATAAGTAATTTTATGTTAAGCATTTTGTGTTATTAACTATATATTGTAATTTTGTATAAATTTTAATTGTTATTCATTATATAAAATAATTGTATTTTTGAGTCTTCTTGGAGAAATCTGTGGGCTATATATTTAAATAAATAAATAAATAAATAAATAAATAAATTACCATCGAGTATGAATTTTTCTTATTAAGTTAAATTCATTAATTATATTTATCAACAGTTTTTAAAATTAATTTTACTGATACTATTTTTGCAGCAATATTTCTAAACACAAAATTTTGCTTTCATATTATAATTTAATTTATGTTGACTAACACTTAAAACTATTTACTAAATTTTATAATTTTATTTGAGTAGTTATAAATAGATATTTTATTAGATTTTATTTTACAGTTTTTAGAGATCTACTCTTTTAAAAACAACTTATTATATCGTATTTTTTATAGGCTCAGCCTGCTTTGAAGGGTCGAAACCGCTTTGGGGACGCATACAATTGTGTCGGATTTACTACTATCCCGATATGGAGTGGAATACTCGTCAGTTCGCTGCTTTTAGGAGGACTGACGATTGCAATACTCGTAATCATGGATATACGCACTCCAAACAAATTTGAAAATTCCAAAACCAAACTGACCATCACAAATTATGATTAATCAGTCCCCTATTCGCTAAATTCTGTATAAATCGCGTTGTTTCGAATGTTTCTTAGTGATTGTAAGAATTGTCAAATATACTACTTTTATTCTGAAAACAAATTATTTTTTATAAACATAATTTCAGTTCGTCTCGTCAATTATTAATGTACTAGTTTTAAGTAGGTTTACCGATTAGCGCGTAAAAATATATGTTTTCAATTTTAATTTTTATTTGAATTTTAGTGTTTTATTATAGTTTTCACTTTGGTATTTTTTATCTTCATGGATATTTTGATTTCTTATATTTTTGAACTTACCTCTAATAACAATTATAAATATATAAGAAATATTAATTTTGTATTATTAACTTTCCGTAGAGTAAGTTATTGTAATCGCAAAATAATCGAAAATAACTAGTCATGACATCGTGCCTTAAGGCAAATTGCTGGAACCATGCGTATCGAAAATTACAATTTTGAAAAATATGATTGTTTTCTTAAATTTCTAAGTGTATTATTGTTAAATTATTTTAAAGCAAACGTTCTGCGTATTTGTTTTAGAGAGACTATGGGAAAAACATTGTTACGGAATCCATAGACATGTAAACAAAATTCAAACTTAATATTGAAATTTCTATAAAATATTAGATAATTTGGTATTTGTACACCAAATGAGTTGTCTAGTAAATGAGTGATTCTTTTTTACCGCCAAGTTGTATTTTTTTTACTTTTTTTATTGTGTCTCGCATCCAGATGGAGCTTGCCATGATTGAAATGCTGTTTTCGTTAAATCCAACTTAATCTAGCAGAAGCGAATCGTGGCGCAATATTGTACTTTATATGGGCTTTATTAGTGCAGTAAACGTAGCGTTTTAGGTCTGAATTTTTCTACTGTGCTCCGAATTGAATGAAATTTTGGAATTAGATTCATCCTACCCTCAAGTTCAAAAGTGGAAACAATTCGGGTTGCGCCATCAACCCCCGGGGGGATGACACCTCTTCTCACTTGTGTAATTACATTTTTTTTCAAAATAACGTCAAAAATCGATAGAAGAACTAATTATAAGAAAAAAGTGTCTTTTATTGTTTTTCAAAAAAAACTAATACTTTTCAAGTTACTGGCCACTAAAGACTCATATATTTTTGGCGCTTTTCTTCGTTTTTTTACGAATATTTCCTAAAATATACATTTTAACGAAAATTATGTAATGAACAAAATAATGTCAATAAAATCTTAATAAATCGGTATTACATAAAGTGTTCTAGGAAAAATATTAAGCAAGATTTGAAAGAGCAAAGTCGTTTTTTATTTTGTTCAAGATTTAATTGTTGTATTTAAAGCTATCTAGTATCGAGGTTGTACATTTTATGCATTTCGGTGAAATTGGGTTTTATAGTGCTCAACATAAACTTTAAAATGAGTGCTGGTACAAGTTTTTTGCATGTGAAATGATTGAGCTATCATGCAAATAAAAGCATATACGAAGTTTTTTTTCTTTTAAATCATATGGTTTAATGAGCGCCATTTCCACCAGAATTAAAGTAATTCACATTCCATCTAGAAATCACTTCATTATAGACATCTTGCTGGATTCTAGCAGATTTACTACTTTAGTACAAACTATTTTCAGAAAACTCACAATTTTATAAAAACTTTTTTTTCCAATTTTTTTAAAAATCGAAATTATTTTCATTATATCTCAAAAGAATAAAAGATACGTATAAAAGCAATTGATAAAAATGAAAGGAATCTTTCTGGTTCTCTTCCGTTGTTTTTTATTATTTTTTTTTTCACACGAAAATTGACAGAGTTATGAATGTTTAAAGACTGCGCGGACGCGCAAATTGGAAAAAAAGTTTTTATAAAATCGTGAGTTTTCTGAAAATAGTTTGTACTAAAGTAGTGAATCCGCTAGAATCCATCAAGATGTCTATAATGAAGTGAATTCTAGATGGAATGTGAATTACTTTAATTCTGGTGGAAATGGCGCTCATTAAACCATATGATTTAAAAGAAAAAAACTTCGTATATGCTTGAAAAAATGAATGTTGGTCGGTTTATCTTAATATAACATTTACAGATTATATTGAATTTATATAAAATTTATATCCAAATATTAATTTCGATCGATCAAATGACTGAGCTTCATGTTTTTTGTGCTCATTAATTATTTTAAGTTAATTTTTTTTTCGTGACCCATATAAATACCATGTATTTTCCAAGTACGATAATACTAAAGAAACGAATCTTGGTCGCCCACAAAACGGTTCCCATATGCCTACATTTCAAACTTATATTGAATTTATAAAAAAAATGTATCAAACTATTAATTACGATCGAGCATATGACTTTCTAATCATGTTTTGGTGCTAATTAATTATTTCTTTTGACACAACCGAGTTTTTCATAAATTAATAAAATTACCATTAATTTAATAATTATTGCTCTACGATTAATTTGCTGAAGCATTAAACTAAAGTTTATGTGCCCCCATGATTGGGGGTATAGCGGCTTCTTCAGAGCCGAAACAGGAAACACACTATCAAATACATGTGGCCAAACATCCTAAGATGAATAATGATACTGAAGATATCGGGGCTA